CGTCACAGCATGTGCAATTTCTCAACAAACCTACGAAAATCTACAAGTATAACAACTTCCGTATTCTCCTGATCGTCTACTTTTTTATTTGTCAAAATAAAACTCGATCTAAAAGGAAGAATATTTAACGATACGAAAACAAATCAACACAACAATTTGTAACAATATCAAGAAATCTTCCAAAAATGTGCAGAACAATAGAAAATTAGCTATATGTGTGTATGAATATCTAATAACGTAAAATCACATTATTCCCGCCAATGAGTTTATTTTATAATATGTAAGAATTACAATCAAAGTCCAGATACTTTTTGAACGGATCTCGTATAACGAAAGTCACGTACAATCAAAATATCTCGACAGAATTGTTATTTATAATCTGTTTTTCAATCTATGATAAACAATTCACAATTGCACCACGTGCAATCTTTATAAAAGCAAACATTGATATATACAATTAACTTGAGAAAGATAATGATGGATTCGAGATTATCCAACGAACTTCAGCGAGGCTTTTCAATAAAGCACTTTTCTAATTGTTTTCGAGGACGAACCCCGCGCGACTTCACACGTGTGGTATAGCGAACCTCCGTCGAACAAATGGATGAAACTCTTACCACTTGATTGAGGTTTTAATGCTGCATAAAACCAATTGTTCGATTGCATTTACGATTTTTCAGAGAAATAATTCATAAACATTCAGTAAACAATTAAAACGTCTTACCTTTTTTATACAAATCTTTAATCAATAAAGTAAGACAAAATTTTTTGGCAAAAAAGTTCATCAAATCAATTAAGGAGGTTCTCGCGTTTGATGAAATATAAGACAAGTCTATAATATACATGTAATACAAAAGTTAATAATATCGATAATACCTAGAAAAAATTTCATTGACTTTTACCGTACCATTTTGAAGATATTTAATTCTAAAATTTATAGAATTTTACATTACAAGTTGAAGGTATAATCTTATTTTGTAGTTATTCTCTTTTAAATTGAGACACTTGCGTATAAGACAGCAATTTAAAAATCGTTATAATTATAAAGTAAACACTTAAGTTTGTTCTCGTAAAGTTTCATTTAAACTGACCGTACAGTTTACAAGAAATTTATATTCTTCAATGAAAAAAGCTAGAATATATGTCAAATGGACGATGCGTATACATCAAATAAGTATCTTATATAACTTTTATTTTGTCATTTCGAAAATATTTAGTAACATATAAAATTAACAATAATTATGTATAATGGCACAAGATATTGTTAGTAATCTTTTTATTCCATTATTTAAATTGTTTTACATATTATTATGAATAAACTATCTATTGACTAGGAAGTAGCGCGAGAACCTCCTTAAGTCATGATACTATTCCCTGTATTACTATAATTGAATAAGGAATATATAGCAACGCCTAAATTCGCATATCAATATCAGAGGATACACGATCGTTGAACTTTCTCAGTATTATTTGCCCTTAGCAATATCTAGCCGCCACATCTCGTACGTGTTACACGACTTTTCCTCTCGTATACTATTCTGATTTCACTTCAGGAGTTTTATTTTAACCTATAAGAATGACGACGCCGTTCTTGGAAAAAAGTCAAAAAAGTTGCACTTAAAAGTTTGCAATATTGTATACCATGTATACAACCTATATAAGAGTGATACGCAAAAAAAAGAAATCAATCTAACATTTTTGTCGTATGTAATTGTAGCGCAAAAAATACAGCAAAAATCAAATGTACCATATATTTTTCATATAAAATGGCAAGTTTATCAGTTGTCAGCGTGAATTAATTCAAAATATCTGCATTCACGACATTCATATTAAAGAAAATAGTTATGCCATCACCACAACTTTTGCGCATTTCTTCCTTCATCTCTGTCCAAAGATTTAGTTTATAAACAGTGGCAGAGTCGTAATAGGAACTAAATACGGACTATCCGATAAACCGTTCGTAAGTGGAAGTTGGATTTCTAATTAAAAGCGGATGACCCGTGAAAACAGTCGACGGATAGTGTTCATTGGAGTCCTAATGCACATCTGACGTAACTCGTGCCTAATCCGTGAGCCGCGTTTAATACAAAACGTCCTGTATACAGAAAATCCGCGATACAATTGAAAACGCTTTAAACATGAGGAAAGTGGCATTAATTAATGTATACTACGTATAGAGACAAGTTGGCACAGGAACTACATATAGCGCTAATCTGACGTCATAGATGCTCAAATCAGAAAATAGTATTCGATAGTTTCTCCGATGAATGTATAAAAGATATTGGTGTTAATATTTAATATTTAGTAAGCTTCGAGCATAATTTGATTTATTTATAATATTATATTCGAGTACTAACACAGATTACGATCTTTTCGTTATAACTGCAAAAATTAATATCAAAATTCTCAATCCTACTAAATATTAGCGTTTAAAATTATCGTTATGGGCACAGCGCTGCTCACGATAAAATTATCTTTTGTTTTCTCTCATTTTTTATATATCGCACAGAGTGGTAGTAACATAATGATCGTTTCGTTATGTGAGTGACAACGTGTTTCACGAGACAATTCGATTTGTCTTGCAGACACGCGTCGCCCTCGATAACGATCTCGATTACTCCTGCCCGAGACACAGCTTCGCTCACGCGATTAGAATTGATCCTAATTACACCTCAGTGTAAATCCCGTATTAGAAGACTACGAAGCAGGACGCGCGGCGCGTACTTGGGCTGTTCGGAGACTCGAATACTATTACCGGCGTCAGATCTATTTAATTGTTGCTAATGCCAGTTCTAATGATCTGTTTCCAATCTCTAGTCCAACTGCACACTCAGGTTCCACTGATTCTCACCAAGCCCGAATACAAATTGAAAATAGATCAAGCGTAAATTTCTCGTCTCGCGAAGTAGAATTTTATAAAACATTGATAGTTTGCCAACACAAAGACGCGAGAAAATGTGATCTTGTACTATTTTTTTAAGAATTCTCTTTAAATTAAATATTGAAACTTAATTGCATTTTTCACGAGGGACAAGTAAAAAAAGTTAGCAAGAGAAATGCATTTAAGAATTTCTTGTACTTTAAATCCTTAGAGGGATCTATTCAGGATTCAAAGTAATTCCGTAAAAGCGGACCAATAATAATAATCCGTAAGAGTTTGCGTCCGAGTCGAAATATAGGATTTCTGGACCGATGTAAGTTCCGTCGTTGGTGACGGCTTTGTTTAATCGTCACCTAATGTCTCTAATGTTCCGATCTAACCCTTCGTTCGTCCAGGGAAATTGCCTCGCGGTATAGTCCTTCCGAGAGATCTAAGCTATACCGAGCGTAAAGCCCGATCTCTATTGTGAAGTTCTCAGTTGAACCTTGCTTTGACGTCTCTGCGTAGGATCAACTAGATTGTTGAATCAGCGAATTGCTGTTCGATGTTTGCGGAATGTACATCGATCGTACATTTATAACCACAGATCAATGGACAGTCTGTACAGAAAGGACGTCCAAATTCGATCGGACTCGATGGTTGTAATCGCATCACCAGAATATGTCAATAATCAGATATAAAATATATTCATACGTATTTGGCGAATTATTAATATGGTAACTTTAATTAGACCATCCGGATATTTATAATATATTTTTTAGACACACATACATGACATGCGAGGTCTGTCCAAAAAGTATACGAGTTCTGCGTATATCTTTGTATCCTTGGGCATCCTATTGTAGAAAACAGGCATTCAGAATTTGTGAGGGAAGACCTTGAGGAATATCCCCACCAAGCAGCACGACCCAACAGCTGTTCAGTTGGCAATGGTACGCAGTCATGTGAGCATCGCATTTCACCTGCGCATTCATCTCACCTGATTCAGGATTTTTTCAACTTGCGAAATAACCAGAAGTCACGGAGCTATATGTAGACTGTACGGGAGTTGGCGAAGTTGAACAATGCCGTGTTTATGGTCCTAGTAAAAAATTCTGAATCAGATGAAATGAATGAACAGGTAAAATGCGACGCTCGAAGTTTTCGACGCTCACACAACTGCGTTGCCGACTGAACAGCTGTTGGGTCGTGCCATTTGATGGGAGTATTCCTTCAAGGTCCTCCCTAAATACAAGAGAGATAGGGGGAGAGAGAGGGGGGAGAGGGGGGGAGAGAGAAGGGGGAGGGGGGAGAATGCACACACACAAAGACAAAAATATTTTTTACTACTTTACTTACATATGTTGTCAAGGTCATCGGAATTGGGTCCCTTATAGTGCACAATTACCAATACCTCTGTAGAGCAAAATTACATCTTTCTCTATAGACGGAGACTTTCTTATAGAGAGTATGGAACTTTTCACATCCAGAGCTCCTATGAGTGTTGAATTCATCACACTCAGAATTTGGGGTATTTGGGGAATTTGGGGAGTGAAAAAAAATGTTAATTTTTTACAAATGTTAAAAAATTTTGAGTGATTTGAAAACAGTATTTGACTAGGGTGTATAGGTAGAAGTATATTTCGCACATATAATAAAAAAGATAAAGTATTTGTGTTATTTTGAAATCATCCCCTCCCCTCACCGTTTGGATGAGGTATTCCACCATTTAGAAAATTCAAAAGTCTCCGCCCTTGTCTCTCTCTATTTTGTATAATCACAATTATAAAAAGGATTCAATTCCCTAATAGGGAATTTCAAATACATAGTTTAGAAAGAAGCTTGTGCCGACACAGATCGTAGCAGTTTTAGCCAGTGCTATTGGATTAAAGCGAAAAAGATTGCTCGCTAGCAGGTTAGCTAACATATCCGACACGCAAGGCTCACTCTACTTAATACAACTTGATCCTTTTTAATTAAATGCCCTCCCGATCATCTTGTCTCTTACCGGGAACACTCTTTTAGATTTTCTTCTTTACTACTTGGTAAACCTTCTACTGCTCGCGATAATCGAAACACAAGATATGAGGAAAGACATTTGATGTTATTAATTTTGGCAAAATTAATGATAATCACATACCTTAACCAATGCCTTTTTGTAAGAGCCGTGTGACAGCAGATAGCATCATATTGATCGGCAAGCCACACTATCAAGATTATATAAAACGCAGTGGTTGTATCGTTGAAAAATTCAGACATAAGTGCCTCCATTCCTAGAAAAAACAAGCAGAAATATGTAAGAGTAATGACAATTAAAAAAAGCTGTCGCTGTTGTCCGATATTTTGCATCAAATATAAAATTTCTTTTATATTTTTCATAAAATTTTTTTTAAATAATGTGCTTATAAATTACAATAATATAACACTGATATAATACTAAAAATTAAATAATGTCAAAAGAACAATCGATTCTAATGTTATCGAATGGATGCGAGCGTGTCCTATATCAGTGGACAGTTTTCCACACAATTAAAACTCCGAACAGTGAACAAGATTCGTTTTTCGTAAATTTATCGTCATTGCATGGCCGTTATGTTGTAAAAACGATGTACCATATCGATCTTTCTTATCGCTTCACAAACGTTAAACATTCAATCTTACTTAACAAGTAAAACATTACTACGAATTAAAATGTCTAAAAAAAAAGATGAGAATAAAAAAAATACATATGTATACAATATTATATTTGCCAATGTGTCCTAATGACCTAATGGATATAGTAACGATACACGAACACTCATAGAAAAAAGTGTTTTTATGTTATTTGAAAATGATATTAAAACACTTAATATGAAGAACAATAATCGCGAAAAACAAAAAAAAAGCATTTGTTCTTATGTGCGATTACCGTTCTTCATTTTCACTGATTGTGAGATATGTGGTCGAGTCGGTATTTATAGATCTAGTCGGATTCCATTTAGTCGATTTTTGAAAAATATTCCTGTAAGTCGGAAGAAAGTAGACGTGCACGTATATTACGTGGGAGATCGTCGTGGCAGTGCTAGATGAAGGTGCCACAGACGCGCGACCAGCAAGGATGAATGGTCTTGAGACTAAGGGCGCGACGTTAGATAATTAGTTTCTATCGGACACAACGCGACGGAACATGGAAAGAAAACAACGCCGCGGGAATGCTAACAAGCGGGGCTCACGTCGCTCGTATCCGGGACGTACGCAATACGGCCAAGATACAGAAGTACAAATCGACGAAGAGACGTAGTCTGACAGCGCTCACGGGGGTAGCTCGACAAAGTGAGAAATTACTTCTTAAGAGAGCAGGGCGGCCGATTGTCTCGCGAAGAAAAGGAAATCACTTATGCCGCTATTGTAACAAAAAAGTAATGTTTGCATTGGGATTTTTTCCAAATATACAAATGCTACCTACAAATTATCGTGTTTATTTTCATCTATAGATCCTTTGATAAATCTAGGGATCGATTTCTTCTCTCAAAAATTGATCGAAAACGATCGCTCATCGTGATTTGTTATTTTTTGTATCCGCAACGTCAAGTACCGTGGTGAGAAAGCCACAAATGAAATTTCTGGTGATTCTTAACCCTAATCAATACTCGTTCAGAAATTTCCTTAACTGGTATTCGCGAGTCCGGTAAATAATTGACTGACCTTTTTTTTAATTTGAAGGTCAAAATCTAAGGAATAAGATTATGTAACTTAAAATTATGTGACTTACAATTATATAAAGAGAGTTGTAAAAAAATATTTGTTAGAAATAATTTTTGTAGTTGAAGAAAATGTTCGAATCCATTGAACTCATGAATACCGACTAATTAAGTACGTAAATCCTGAAATTATATTTTTCCTTCACATAAAAAGTAAATAAATAATTAAAGATAATAATTCCAACGCAGCAGGGTTAGCAAGTAACGCGTTACTTGTAACGTCGTTACTGTTAAAAGTTACTTTTTTGGGTAACGATTGAGTAACGACGTTACATTTTCTTCTGAGTAACGTTCATGGTAACGCAGTTACATTTTTGGGATAATGATAACGATTTCACTAGTTACTTTTATCGTTACTTTATTTCTATTTACGTAAAAGTTTTAATCGTAACTAGAGAATATATACACTGAAAGAAAAATTTGCAGATTTTAAATAAATATTTATTCCAATAGTACTAACGAAATATTTATTTATAGTAAATAAATATTTATTCAAAATAAAACAGTTATGTTTAAATCGAATAAATATATGTTTACATTTAGTAAATATTTCGTTAGTATTATATTATTGGAGTAAATATTTATTTAAAATTTGCAAATTTTTTTTCTGTGTACATATATGTATACACATATTATATATATATATATATATGTATACATTTATCAGTTTTTGAGTTTTATTCCTCTACTAAAAAACAGAATTCTGACATCCTTTTTGTATTATTATATGCAAAAATCTGCATATAATGCGTTTTTCGTTGGCAGAATTAGTGCGCATTCAGTGCACTAAAGCTTTGAAACCGCTGTACAATTGACGTAAAGATATATGGTTAATAAAAATACAGAAACGAGATAAACCGCGAAATCCTCAATACATTTTATTATGCTATTTGATAAAATATATACTTTAGGCATTTTATCAATTGAGATATCTCATTTTTATATTTAGATTAGAGTGTACGACGGCTTTAATGTGCATTGAATGCGCACAAGTTCTGCCAATATAAAACGCTATAACGTTCTATTAATGTTAAGAAAAAAAAGTAACGAAAAAGTAACGACTCGTTACATTTTGAGTGACGAGGTAACAGTAACGAGTTACTTTTTAGAAAAAAGAACGATAACGGTAACGAGTTATTTTTATGAAGTAACGTTGCCAATCCTGCAACGCAGTAATCTTTTTCGCCTATTTCTCATGTTTCTAAATATTTCAAGATACCGTAATAAATATTATATCCCAAAATTGCTTGTAAAAAAGTTATAGAAAAGACGTAATTGCATCGACCTTGTCCATGTTGCTCCAAGTTAAGAGTTAAAGCAACTTGGGATCATGCGACTTCGTTAACAACAGAATACGCATGAATCAGTTATATATTGGCCTGTGCCGAAAGGATCGTTAACATCGGATAATGCGTGGATAATGCACTCGTTTAAATGCATACTAGTCGAGCATTACCTCACCGTATAGGTAAGCCTTTAACACGGTTTCCTGCCGGAGAACCATCTAACTCCCGATCATATCCCCATTCTCTTTCCTCTTCAATTTTTATAAAAACGCTCAAATTCCAGATACGACAAACAGTGATTACGATCTACGTCCAATAATCTTTCGAGATTGAAATTGCACTGGTATAACGTTGCAATTTACAACATATTTAGTATTTTTCTTATGGTAAAATACTAATTCAGCTGCAATCATTCAAGCTTATGTTAGAAGCTTAGAAAGACGTGAAATATACATGATACAACCGATGGAATGGGACATTATCAATGAACGATCGCGCAAAACACCGTGGTCAAAATTGGCGGAACGGCATGGTTCCCAATTGCCGACTGACAGAGGGTTCACGAGTCATAACTAATTCGAGGCCATGACTACACGCACGGTTGTCGCACGGGCTCTCGCGTAATTGCGTGTATGCTCCACGGCTCACCGACGCCCAATGTCGGTGTCGACTGATCGAGCGTAAACTTAGGCCTTGTAAATAGGCAATGATTTTAAATTAGTGCTCTTGTTGATTTTATCAGATATTTCGTATATGACAATATGATTGATGGAAATGTCAAATGCTTTAAATACAAATACATCTTTATTTCGTCTCATAAATATATCAAAAATCCATAGATAATAGTCAAGTAATTGCACAATCTCGATAATATGTAAATTGACTACAACGATTTTTATCACGTATCTACCGCGTGTTTAAAATAAATATTACAGGTTAATACCTAATTTCGAAGATAACTCTCGTTGGCAATTTTAGAAATAAAATAACGTTACGTTAGTTAAGGTTTCTAAGAAGGAAACTAAATATCATTGAAATATTATAATTGCACAAATATTATATATAATAACACATAGCGCGCTGTTGCTCCAAGTTCATCCATTAGCTACGATTAGTCGCGCGAAGAATGATGCAATTCATGTGTACATTGCGTAAATTCATATCTGACGCAATGCAAAATAATACTAGAATGTGCGTCGCGCGTATTTTCTGAAGAGGCGGTAGCTAATAATGTGGTTAATCAATGGTCAACTGTGTACAGCCATCGCTCACGTGTCATCGGCATCGAATCGAGCTTGGTCGGTACCAATATCGCACACAACTCGGCAGAATCTATCCTCTTCCTTTTTCTCTCTTCCCATCTAATAGACATAATATTTCCCGCTGACCGACCACTGTGCGAACACGTTTGAGTTTGATCGAACGCGAGATTCGACGTACTTGATCGAATGCGAATAAATACAAGTGACTGCAGTTCATGGATCCTTACGGAAATTCTTTTGTCGAAGATTGCTGTTCTATAATAACATTAAACGTGTTTCGCTTACTCATCAATCACTTGTTTCTATGTTAATTATCGTCTCCCATATGAAAACTAATCTCAGATAAATTCAGGCGTATCACATGAGAAAAAAACCTATTATTACAGCTTGTGAAACGAATATGATTAATCCGATCTCAAAGACGCAAGCCGTAAATTTCTTTGAAATTAATTTACAAAGTTCGTTGCGGATCGGTTACCACTAAAGATCTATATAATTGTTAGCTACTCTACTTTTGTAAACTATACGGGTAGTCCTATCTTCGTTGGAGACACGTTCGCGTCTTGTATAATGCTCGACTATATAAACTCGCAGATCTCCTTTCGCGAAGTGACTGTTGACGAGATAATTAGGAGCGAAATCGTACTCGTCAAAGCATGGAAGATTTAATCAAGGACCAATCAGGACTCGCATTAACCGTCGTATGTCAGAAGCAGAACGGTATCGTAGAGCGAATCCCGGGCAAATTATCCACTGCTACACCAGGATCTTCGCTGCTGCAGACGCTATATTGTGCTTTGGCAGCAGAAGCGGCTTTAGAGTTGGCGAAGCAGGGGGCCATAGACTGTAGTTTAATCTGCTCTAGCGCCATGATCTAGCCATCCCATTGCGTACGTCGGCACCTCGCATATGCGAAACCGTAATCGCGATAATTTGCCTAATCGTAGCATTACAAGAGCGAGTTATACTTATTTGATATCACGATATTGTGAAAATGAGAAGCTCACTCGATATGTCATATGGAACGAAATGCACAGAGATAATCCGATTTCAATTATTTTTTATTACATCCTGATTAATCCATATCCTATAAGCATTTTGGAATTTTGCGATTCCTTTATCACAATGACAGTTAGCTATTAGACAAGCTATTAAATGCTATTTATTCCCTTTAATCTACCAAGGCTGAGACGTTTGCGCTCACGCGCCTGTGCAAAATATGCTAATACGTATACGGCAGCTTCGCATCAACGTTATAAGCAGATAAACGGAATGGCGCGGGTACAACGTGTTCTGACCGTCTCTGAAAATGTGTTTACAGCATGTTAGGCGGCCGATCATGCGTCACTGATGCACAGAGGCGCCGGTGTGCCTTCGTTCTTTGACGTTCCATTATGCAAAATCGTCTTCCACGTCGTACCTGATGCCAAATGCCGAACGACGCGTGGACGATTTGACGTGAATTCACGCTGATGATGCCACGGGCACCCGCCAGACAAAATATTGCCCATCAACGACGTAAACGCAAGGGTGAAAATTGAAAAAGAACATGCCGAGCCGAATGGCAAATAGCGTTGAGAAAACGTTACGCAAGACACCGAATATAACGTGTAATCTAAATGCTAACGTAAACGATAAGGTATACATTTTGAGATTATTTAGAAAATTGCAAAAATATAAAAACGTCAAATATGGCAAAGTTACTTGCAAAAGTTGAAGAACTTTTTCTAACGAATTACATTATTACAAAGACATTGCATGAATATTCCCTTAGAACTTTTATTTTATTCAAGGAAAAATACTACAACATTATGCTTTCCATGCTTCTTATTATCGTACAAATTGGGAAAAATTGAAAAAAATTAAAGGATACAGAAATGCTAAAATACAAGAAAGGAAAAGAGTAACGATATATTCTCTTTGATCGAAAGGTAACATGTGATAAAGACACGAGAGAAAGCTGAGAGAGCCACTGCAAGATGACGGATGGAGAGAGCAGGAAACGATACAGGAACTGGAACCTATTACTCCAGATAACAACTTCCCTAAGGCTTCTTTTCCTTTTCCTACTTCCAGCTATGTTGATTTGATGTACATACGCGCGCGCGCGTGTGTATTTTTTTAATTTTCGTACGCGTACGATTCTCTTGGCAATCCCCACAAAGGGGGGAGGGATGCGAAAATTTACCACTTCTATTGCCACATTTCGTTCAGCTGTCTGCTGACCGCGTAACTGGTGGTATATGTATAAATGAATGGATATCCTACTAGACTGTATATAAATCATTTTTGTGAAATCCGAAAAATATGTTGCAATCTTTTTCTTTATTTAATCAAAATTAATGACTAGCTGTAATAGCATTCATAAATAAAACGAAGGAAAATATATATCGTGTGTGTATATATATATATATATATTGTGTGTGTGTGTGTGTGTGTGTGCGTGCGTGCGTGCGTGCTGTATGTGTGTGTGATGATGATGCCGATGATGCTGCTGCTGCAAGCACACAAGTAGCGACTTGAAATATATGTATTATAATTCTGTGCTTGTAAGTGGGCAGTTGTGCTCAAGACAAATAGAAATAGAAAAGCTAAGATTAGATGGTAAGGTAAAACAGAGTATCTGATGTTTCAATAAATATATTATATGAATAGCATGAAAATTCGTGAGAAAGAACGGATTTGAAACTCGTTAACAAATTAAAAGAGGTACTTGTCGAGAGAAACAATTTATTGCATACAAAAGTATCGCAATGCAAGGAGAGGAAACAAAGATCGTAAATTCAGATTCTATCAATGTTTTCAAAGCCGTTGGATAGACGGGAGGATCAGAGACGTGGTATTTTATGGAGGTCAATTGGACCATTGGTGCCAGTGGACACGCGAAGCGTGAAGAGAAGATATTCAGGTCGAAATGGAAATGGGTGTCGCGCGACGCCGCCGCCACTGCTGTTAAATGGGCTCCGAGCGGGTTACCCAACTGTTGCGCCTTCATCAGAAATTTATGCAGAATCCTGGGTTAACCGTCCCGGCCAATCAGCTTTGTAACCGAGCTAACGTCCTACCGGCGAGAATTCGAGAGAGCAAGAGCAGTCGTGATTTAGTAAAAAGGTATTTAATATTTCACTCGCACGTCGCGACCAAACTCCAACGTACTCACTTGAGAATTCACGGCCGATTGATTATTCCAGCTAAAACGAATCATCTTTCATCGAACACTCACAAAAAATTACAAATCGAACACTTACAAAAAATCCAAGAAATATGTTTGAATTTAAATGTAAAGTCCAATGAATGTGCAAATGCTATACAACCAAAATATTTCATTTTCCATGAAACATTTTCCAAGAAAACATGACAAAAATAAGAATAAAATATACCAACACAAATAATTAAAAATATACGTACTTAAGGTATATAAAACTTACCTACTAATGCCAAGACTACTGTCAATAGGGAAGCAGCTGGCAACGACACAGTTAAGTTAAACTCCAGCATTTGTATAAGGTCAACTAAAACAAATAGAGAGAAATGCGAGTTTTAGTGTTAAACTTACATAAGCATATATACGAGATAAAATATTTTCTATTATATTTTATAATTTTTATATTCGATTATTTCCTCGAGAAACATGTATATCGAAACAATTTTCGTACAATTATGTATAAAAAAATTCATATAATTCCATTTAAAAAAACGAAGTTGACCTTGAAATCTCCGAAGCGCCTCCACCTGGACAAAAATTATCACCATATGATAGCCCCCTTTATATACATCGTGTAATTTTGGTATATATAAATTTTTTTCTACGCCTTATAGATTAGAGGATATTTCAGGTGGCAATAGTTATTGGGACACCTTGTATGTATATATATATATATATGTGTGTGTGTGTGTGTGTGTGTACACGCACACGCCGTCGCGTAAGTTCATCGCAAGATATAACGCTATGTGGAAATCGTTATTCCGGTCGAGGAACGGCTTGAATTTAATATTTATCAGGCACATCGTGGTGAAGACTTCGCGAGCAGAAGGTTATTACGTAAGTTTAGCAACACTGTGAAGGAATCGTGTCGCGTTCGACGAGTCAACTCAAAGCTTGATACGAATTAATTTCGAAACTTCATCAATCCTGATTTAAATTCTACGAAACTTTCTATCGACGCTTTAAGCACTCCTCGCATACTTAATATTGATTTATTTCTCACGCCCATCTTTCCGATAAATACATATATTAGAAGATACATGTAATCTCATGTGATCGTTCAAAGCATTTATTCATCGTTATTAAACATAGAGATTGATTTAGAAGCGTGACAATTTTATGTTTACAACTTCTTCGAATAATCTGCAACGACATCTTGCAAGACGGAGATTCAAGACTCAAGGATAGATTAAAAATTCATAATCGCATCGTTCCATGCCGCGCCCGCCATGGGTGCAACAAAGCAATTAAAAAGTTAATACCGTCACTCGTCCTAGACAACCCACCGCGAGCCGCGCCTTTTTTATAGGATACACAGCGTTGTACTTTACAAATTTGCGCGACACTCCTGGCGGTTCAATTTAATGAATTTTAGATTTTAACTTATCACCTACTAACTCTCTCTACCCTCCAGTTATTAAAACTTGCCGCAATCCTTCGTCCTGTCCCGCATAATCCCCCTCTCTAACCAGCGCCACGTATATCTTTTACTTACGTTTATTCTTTTTATCTTTTTTATCTTAACCGCTCTATCCGTTTTGCTTCCGCTCTAATTAGACCGAATATGTTATATTAAATACATTATATACAGAAAGCAGTTGTAAAGCTTATGTCTTAAACAGCTTGCAAATTATATTAAGCTTCGATTTACCGATACTAACGATATCGTAATTTATTCAATATTTAATTGAAGAAATTTAACATAGAATTTACATAGAATTATGCATCTTATTTTTTGTGAAGAACAAACACGTGATTTTTTGGCTCAATCACGCTCTACATTAGAAGAAAATAACTTAAGAAAATATCAAACTAAAAAATACAAAATAATGTAAACAATAGTCAGTGAAAATCGAACGAGAAAGGACTATGTCCAGTTTTATAGGGGAATTTGGGATGAACAACTTTGAGACATGCCTAAAATTTTAAGGTATCAAAAGAGAATCAAAAATTCCATAAGTCTAACTTCATAGGAGAGGTTTCCTGAGTGCCACATTTCAATTAGGCAATTAAAACTTTTTGTTTCATACTTTAAGTGTCTCTCCCCTCTTCATCGATTAATACATATCACTTATAACTATTCATTTGGGGTTCAAAAAAGGTTTTAGTTGTCTTCGTCAAGATTGGACATATTCCAGATACTAGATGATTCGAGAAATCGAATAACACCAGTCCAACATGGTACACAATACATGGTTATAATAGCGAACTTTGAACAGCCGTAGCACTCAAGGGACTCATTTTACAAAGTTGTGCATATGGAACTTTTTAATCCTTTTTTGATGCTCTACAAAAATAGACTAGCAAAAATAGACTAGCAAAAATATCGTAAGCATGAATAAAAAATGGAGAATAAACGAAACTTGGTCGGAACACAAATTGTCTGATATGAAACACCCAAAACTCGTAAATGGATGGAGAAGACATGCCGCTCTTCACGCTGTTTTTCTATGTAAATTTGTATTTCAAACGATTAACCTGCGAAAATAACTTTGCTCGATGCCTCTGTTTAAACTTTCAAGTTTCCTTTTCTTTTTTTAAGCTAATTCCGAAACTGGCTATAAAAAATCATCAAGCACGCGCTATTTTATCAAACTTACCGAAAACAGTAATTAAATTAAAATAAAAGCTTCTCGATTCGTCAATAACTAAGTCTTTCAAAAAATCACTTACTTAATAATTATTGTTTCGAAGAATCATATATTATACAAAATATAACTAATCGATTACTTTTAAATGTAACTTAAGTACAAAGTTACAAGTTTTTAATCATTTGTAATCACATTGGAAAATCACTTATACAAAATAAGAAGATACAAGTGTTGAATATTGTCTAAAAAATTAACTACGAATATTAGAAACGCTTAAAAGTTGTTCGAAATTAATTTTCATACAGTAATATTTTCAACACAAAAATATCAACTAATTTAAACATTTTTAGACCGTACTATGTGAGAAACACAATTAATAATAGAAATTCAAAGGCCTATAACGGTCGAAGCTAGATCTTTAACGCTTTTAAATAATTCAATGTGAATTATATATATACTATATATGCACATTGCATATACAACATATTTGTAGTCCTTCAAACTGCGCGCCGAATTGATTTTCCGGACTTATAAACGCAATTAAACTACTGGAATAATATCACGAATTAAATTAAAATTGACAAGCAATTCTTAAATAATTTTGATGCACAATCAGGCATCATATTAGCAAGATGTTAATGTACTGAAAAAATGTAAATACATTTATTGCGAAAAATATTACCTCGGCCGGGAGTCGAAAAAAATATCAAAAATCAGTAAGATCCGCATCAATGCTAATTAATGAAAAATAAGAATAAAGAGGAAAATAAAGTACAACGTATATTTTTTAAAGGATAAATTGCATTTATATATTTGACTTTCAAGATCGAAAACATTGTAGCGACAAGTAATTTTAGTTTATCTGATTTTCATTATCTTATCACTCTTTCATGATAACAATATAACAAAATAACATTATATTTCTATAGCTTCATTAAAAAAAACTCCTATCAACATTAAAGAAGTAACATAATCAATAACAAATACTTATTGCAAATATTTGTGCAGATACTACTGTCTATCTGCGTAGTTTGTACTGACTAGATATAATGGACTATTTCGTTATATTTTTTTATCTTCAATATCTAATCTCAGAGAATGCATCATATCTGATAAGTGATCTCCAAAACATATTAGACACACAAAGTGTCAAAAGTTTTATTTAAACATATTGTAATGAACTTATTTTTATTTATATAATTGATATAATAATAATGACTTTTGATTTTATTAGAACTTTCGAAATCCTATTGATTAAACAAATATTGTTTAAATGTATTATGTAAAAATATTATAAATGCATATAAGGTATGCAATGATATAACGTATTACATAAGCATTTTGCACCAGTGAGTTGCACTAGATATTAATGATATTGTATGTTATATTTATTGCATAAAATGTAACATTGAATTAAATTTACAACAAATTGCAAGAATCGTAATAAAGAAACAATAAGAAAAGAAATTGTCTCAAAAATAAAAAATGCAAAAAACGTTCGCGTGATAAAGATATTCACTCTTGTCGTAGCGTCTGGTATAAAAAATTAATAATATCTCGTCTTTGTCATCTTTACTGGTGTATTTAGCGACAAGTAGAAGTTATATAAGTCATTAAAAACGATTAACACTATCGAGTAGATAGTGTACACTCGAGAGTTTACGCAAGTCACAGTGTTTATCGTAATATTTAATTTTTTGCCTTACAACAAAAATTTGAACCTTGCATGAAAACGTAATAACATATCACAAATAAATCTTATTGTATACTTCAATAATTTGCTAAAGTGCATTCACGCGTTAAATATCTTGAAACTTGAAAGTGCAGTGATACTTTTCCATACATAAATCTATCATAGAATAACGTGCAAGATTTTCACGTTTCTCTCTTCTCCAAGCCAATCCAGAATCCACCAAGACATTGCAACGTAAACTCTTTTTTATCGAATACGATTGGTTCAACGGTTTTTTCTGTAGCCTTCAGAGTAAATTTTAGTAAAAGATGAGCTAACAGAATCTTAGTTTCCATTAAAGCAAATCGATTGCCAATACACTTTCTAGGTCCATGGCCGAATGGTAGATAAGTATACGGTAAAATTTTATCTTTATTCTCATCGCTGAATCTTTCGGGATCAAACTTATCTGGGTTTGGAAAGTACTCTGGATCGTGATGTAAAGCATAAACGGGAAACATCAATATATTGTTAGGTTCAACAATTACATTCTTGCAGCCTGGTTGCGGCGGAGGCAGTTCATATCTCTTAACACAAAGCCTATCGATGAAGATGACTGGTGGATACTTTCTAAGAGTCTCGGAAATTATCATATCCATGTAAGTCATTTTCGACAGCGATTCATAAGAAATCTCATCGCTTCCCTCGGTAAGATGCTGTTGCACCTCTTTGCGCAAACGATCCTGAATATCTTGATTAACCGCCAATTCGTGAGCAGCGAAACACATCAGTGTCGAAGATGTGTCGAAACCAGCAAGGAAAAAAATGAAAGCTTGCGAAACGATGTCATCCAATGTCATTTTGTGTACACTGGTACCTTCCTTGTCTTGAGCCTGCATTAGTAAATGAATCATATCCGGTCTGATGATATCTTGCTCTTTCCGCGCTCTAATGGTTTCTTCCACGATCCTCTTGAAAAACTTGGACGTATCCGATGAAAAGACGGTCAAACCAATTGATTTACAGAATGATGGACACATACGTATAAATATGAACTTGACTATTGCTAGCAATCCAGCAGCAAATTTAGTAGCTTCCACTCCTCTCGTGTAAAATTCGTTGTTTTGATCCTTCATAGAATTCACACTTATGCCAAAGGCTGCCGTGGCGATTACATCATTGGTGTACCGTCTGAAGGCCCCCTTCATTTCAATCGCATGACAGATTTCCGGATGGTCAACCAAATAATTAACGAAGTCGTGAGAGCATTTCGATATCAAATCAAACATAAACTTCATCTTACTAGCGGTGAAAGAAGGGCTTAATGTATTCCTCATTTCTTTCCAACGATCTCCGCGCAAAGAGAAGATATTCTTGCCAAACAACGGTTCTACGCTTTCATCAACAAAACTGCGATGATCCGGAAAATGTTCAAAATCCCTCACCATAACATCTCTAATCAACTCAGGATCGCGCAATAGCACGGTAGGTGTAGCAAAATCCATTATTCCAACATATTTAGCGTTCGGGAAATGATTGTACATATATTTGCAATAACCGGAAAAAGTGATGCGACGCAGCATCAATTTCCAACCCATTATACCAGTCGATAGCGAATCTGGCAGATAAGGCACGCCCTTATTCCTCCAGTAAAAATATATATGATGCAGCACAGTGACAACTTTCAAGATGCCAATAACAATCAAAGTAGTCAATAATAGCACAAAGGGCGACGAAAACAACGACAAATCCATCGTGATGTGACAGTATAACAGACAAATGAGATGCTTCGTCGGACGCGGCGTAGAATGTTATAAATACACATATGTTGCGCGGATCTTATAGTGAATGAAACGAAGACGGGAGGGAGAAATGACTCTTAGTATTATCGCAATGATACAGGTTACATCAGTAACTGCACAAGCCTATATCATGTCTATTTTTACCAAAGTAAATTAACTTTAATCTCGGTTTAACTTACTGTTCATCTATTTCTAGTTCTAAGAATTAGAAAAAGAAGAGTAAATTAAACTATTACAGTTAATCTACGTTGATAAAAATGGACATTAATCGATTAAAATGTGTATGCGATACTTTTCGATATACCATGTGTATGACTCAAAAAAGTCAACCATTTTTATAAATTAATAATTTAATTTTTAAAAAATTTATTTCACGTTTTAAATAAAAATTGACGACGTTTTCGATAGAAAAATAGTTCCTAATGATTAATCATCACTAGTTTAATCATGCGTGTCTTGCAAACTGCACTTGCGTATAATGGATCTTATATCTGACTATTAACAAGCTATTAACAAATAGAAATAACTAATGTAGAGATTAAAAACGAAAGTGTGTGAAATGAAAGTTTCATTCTTTTACAAAAGCTACGTGTTTCGCGGTTTATCTCTGTGTCCAGTAGAGTAACCTATTTCAGTACTCAGTATCAGATTGCCCCTCGCCTTGACGAAATGAACTGCAATATACACGAAACGTTGGCATTTTAATAATGGATTTGGACATACAGATAATCCGCGAAAAGCGTAGTTTAGGTTTAGGTATAGAAAGTTCCTGTAGAAACTCAAAAGTTTCATTCTCTACATCGTCAATTGTTCAAAGAAAAGAAGTGTACGAAAGCCATAAAATTCTTTCTGTGAATTTTGCAGAAGAGATTTGGTCGTAGTTTGCTTAATCAACATACACTTACATACAAAATACTTGTGTATATAAGCATCAGTTAAACTTTATAGTATCTTATTAAATTAATGTATTCATAATAACGCGTCAATTTCGGGTTTAGAATTGTATCAATTTTAAGTAGCTAATTCCATTATAAAATAAAAAACGTTGTTTAATTAGCTGAAAAAAATAAACTCACAAAATATGCTAACTAAACAAATTATCGATAAAACTTTAATCTTTATCTGCATATTATTCATGAACATGGGCGTATTCTTTTTTTATCAATTTAGAAAGGTTTTTATCAATTTTGTTATCATATAAACAGCAATGTTTGCGTTAATTAACTGCTTTTTTAAATTTTAAAGCTCTTTTAGAACTTAAAATATCTCTTTTTCTCGTTCCTGATTTTGAATGGGAAAAATATTAGTGTGTTTTATAAACAATAAGAATTTTACTGGACCGAACATTTGAAAATTCAACAATAAGAAATAGAAGTAATGGCTGTAACGGTTAAAGCTAGATCTTTAATGTTTAAATAATTCAATCCGAATTACTATATAGGGTGACTTAGAATCGTTGAACCAGCTTTTTACCCTATGAGAAAATTATCGACTGCACAACTAATTATCGACTTAGCGATATAGATCGGATGCGTGGATATGCATCGTATGAATTGCTGATCTGAGCGCGAAAAAGTATTTAATGCAAATCGGTGGAAAAAGAAGAAAATAGATTATAATATATTTAATTGGAAATAGAAAATTATACAAGTCTACAGTGACGTTTTGTTTTATACAAATAATATTAAATCTTCTTAACTCTTCTCCAACCATGGCATTTTTAAGTACTATTTCCATGTGGGATATCCGCGGGATCGCTTTGTCAATGGGACAATTTGGGATATCCTCAGGATAAAGTGTACTGTGTGGGATCTTTATTTTTGAACACTATCGAAATAGTATTTAGAAATACCGTGGCTGGAGAAGAGTTAAAGACTTTTAAAAGAAGAATTAAATACTTTTTCGCGCTCGGATCAGCAATTCATACGATGCATATCCACGCATCCGATCTATACCGCTAAGTCGATAATTAGATGTGTAGTCGATAATTTTCTCATAGGGTAAAAACTGGTTTAACGACTCTGATTCATCTTCTATATACTATATATGCAAGTACATATATAGTATATATAGTAATTCAGATTGAATTATTTAAGCATTAAAGATCTAGCTTTGACCATTACGGCCATTACTTCTATTTCTTATTATTTTATAAATTATAACTTTTATTTTTTTAAATAATAAAAATTATATAAGCTCTAATGAAAAAATAAAATATTATATTATATCTAAATCAAATAAAAATAAAATCTTTTGAGAGCCAAAGCTAGATATTGTTGCAATATAATTTATTGTGTATAACAATTAATTAAACGTTTCGGCCCGTGGTTAGAGTCCTCTTTAGCAATTACATTAACATCATAATCATAAATATATACAAAATTGATTAGACAATTTTTTTTTCTTAAAGGAAATATAGGCGAAATACAGTTATATATTAAAAACGAAATGTGCAGTTCTTTAATATTGCTACTGTTATTATTATTATGTACAAAATATTAATTATTTTTTTGTCCAAAAAATTTTTTTTTAATTTAGAAAAGAATATAGAAAAAGGCCTCTTATAAAAAAACATTGCTACTCTATTAAAAATGTGACGTGATTAAGCTTAAGTTAAGTAACAAATAAAGAGAGGAATGATACGTAAATGAGATAAAGAAAATCGTTCGATACAATTCGATAAAATTAAAAAATTATGAGACGATTTTTTTACCAAAACAATTCGACATATTTTTACAATAATATCTCGATGAATCGACATAAGAGACATGCTATTTAGACGATTTCTTGTCATTATATTGCGCAAATAATTTTTTTAATTGCCTTTCAGAGGAGATTTCGAAATTAAACTTGCTAAACCCCTTCTGAATATGCCCATGCTTATAAAATATAATAAATGTGCTGATTAAACAAATCATTAATAGAACTTTGATCTTTATCTGAATATTATTTATGAAGTACAACTTCCCTCCCAAAATCCATTAATCAAATTGTCAAATCGAAATAATCAATTTGTTTTGTTTGTCTTGTACTATTTTTTTCTTTCATGGCAAAAATAACTACAAAAATATATATTTCACTTTATTAAATATTAAAATGTCTAAAATTGTATCACTCACCGATAAAGACAAAGATCTGATGATGCGAGTAGCGCAGTAACATCGAGATCGACACCGTCTGAAACAATAAAGAGCAAAAAGTTTGTATCAAATATTTTCGAAAATATAGTTACGCAATTAGCACAGACTCGATCGACATTGTTTAAAAATGTCGATTAGCATTATGAATTACGGATATTCTGAAATTTTGCCCGAGTAACTTTGACAAAGTTACGGCATCACGTAAATTGCAAACTGGTCGCTCGTAGTCGGTTAGCGGGTTGAGCGAATGTTGAAATTGAATTGCGATCGGTTCAGATTGAACTAGCACCTGACACCCTCGAAGATAATCCGTTATTTGCAACAGGCAGCCTTAGTAACGGGGTCGTTCGATTCCACCTTGTACGAATGCGCAGGTGTTATTAAAAAAAAAGGAATAAAAAAAGAATAAAAGAAAAAGGGAGCTAATAGAGAAACTGTTTCTGATTACTATTTCCAAAAGAATCATACTGACGTAGTTTAGCAATTATTTTCTCATTCAGACAAAATATTTTGTTATTAATATTATACCTATACCAATATAGATGTACTAGTGGAATGTATTATATGTAAGTATGTAAATGCACATAAAGAGAATCTGTTTTTATGCAAATCAAATTTTTAATTTTTAAAATAAAAATGTAATTTGGAATACGTATAATTATATCTTTCTGTCATATTCGATTTGATGTAAATTAGATATTTTTCGTATAACTTTCTATCAAGTTTCTCCCTTTTCTCGTTAAATCTCTCGATTCTCCTAAATTTATCAAATCCTCTTTCGTTTTTTTTATATCGTAACTAATAGACATCTCTTATGGCAAATCTGACTATTCGATGGTATCTATCGCAGTACCAGCCAATCGAATTCGATATAAGAGATGTGAACCCCGGAGGGTAAAGCGCGAATGCGAGCGACAAATGCACAAACACAAAGGCAAACAAGGAGAAAGATAAAGTAAGAGGGAATAGTATTTCATACTGTATCACATTGTAACAGAGCGCTGGACGTCGCGTGCACATGACAGAGGAGATACACGATGATACATGCACGACGACAGTCGTGTGCACGTGACTCGACGGCGAGCCAGCGGGGGTGGCTCAGGGTGAACCCTCCAGGCAGCCGGGACTCGAATTCACGTGTCGCGGCACGAGCGCTCAACCCTTTAACCGATATCGACGCTGCATTCGCTCCACATTGCAAAGCGAACCACATTGTTCGATCTAAAGAACAAAATATCTCACCGCTGAGCGGCAATTCGAGTCACGAGTTGTAATGCGGAGACGAACACGCGAATCCTATAATCCTCCGTCCGATATCAGTGAGAAACTCTCGCAATGACATTTCGCAAGACATTCGATTCTCACAATTAATTAATATGATAAAAAAAACAAACAAGATAAATCCTATAAGAATATTTCATAAATATCACTCTGGAATCTATGTTTGATAGGCAGAGAAAAAAAGAAAATAAAGAAAACAAGAATTCGCGATTGATAAAGGTCGTAAAGAGTAATGATTTTAATTATTATTGTTACTACACGCGCGAAATACACACATTACTATCAAAAGCATCGTGTCATCATTAAGAGTTTCACCGGTGATCTCGACCACGGTATGCCGCAATCTATTCCACCACAATTTGATACAAAATTACCGACATGGGGCTACTACGACGAATACGATGCCTCTAATAACCTTGATTTATACCCCACGGTTCAACTCCAAAGGGATTGCGCGTGGATGAGGACACTGGGGATAGGAAAGCTATGCGCAGACATGTTACTTTAGTGGATGGTTAGCTTGGATTGATTGCCATATCATTTTACACGTGTTAGGCTATCGTATAGGTGAATGTAAAATCGTTTCTCTGATGACGAGGAATTTATTATCGCCAAAAAAAGGATACGAGCAAATTCGCAATCTTGCAATTCGATGGCACAATAGTTTTATCTTTTCGTATTTTATACTGTATACCTTGAGATATATATAGTCGTTAATTTTATACGAAAAGATAAAAGAACATTTATTGTATTATATTAAATTAAAAAACTTAAATTTATGCTAACAAACATAAACGGTAAATAGAATAACTTTTATTTGCAAATTAATAACTTTGTAACTTATGCATTTGTATGTACATATATTTGTATGTATGTCCATATATGTATATATATGTATACATTATATAGGTATATAATCTGTATTGTATATGCATATATATACATAATGTAGCCCATCTAATGATAAATTGAACTCGAAAAAAAAATAAATGAGAAAAATTAGGATTACAAATTCTAAATAACCATTTACTATAGATTGGACAATTTCTTGCATTTTGTTCAAATATAATCTTATATAAATATGTATAAATATATGTCAAATTCTATGAAGATACATACAATCGATCGATAAGCCAACCACAAAATTCATAAAATACTTACAAATACGAGCATAACGAAAAATGCAGCTAGGTATGATGTTCGTGCCATCCACATGCTGACAAATCGATAATGTTCTCCCGTCACCACGTTCCTATCAAAGCAAAGTTTAAAAAAATTATTTTTCATCTCAATCTCTGCAAACTTCTAATATGTTTTAATGCATCTTTATCATTAAATAACCATCGTTGTATTCAACGTGAAAGTCATACCGTAAAAATCCTTTGTTGTCTTCATGTTCTGCTAGTGTTTTGATACTTGCCATCAACAAATCGTCATATCCCAAAAATTCATCTAATATTAACCGCGAAAATGCATCACCAAAACATTTGTCGTTTAATGGATCTAAAGTGACAATTTTGACTGGAATGTTTAGTCTTTGTCGAGCTGCTGGTGATAATCGTAAGAAACCATATTCCAATGAATATTCTACAATATATCCATCTTCTAGAAATATAACAAAAAACTGCATTAGTAAAAAAATTGACTTTTTATTTTATATATATATATATATACAGGGTGTTTCAGGAATATTTGGCCAAATTTTAAGAGCATATTTCACTCGTTGTAAGGATAAAAAAAAGTCATATTAGTCGCCATTTTGTATGATTATCAAAAAATTATTAGTTTACGAGTTATTTAATATTTTATGTAAATATGTGCCAGAATAAGATATAAAATATCGTAAACTATTGATTTCTCGGTACTATTATCTTAATACTTTTATATGAAGGATAATTAGGGGAATTATATTATGTAAAAAAATTATATAATTCCATTTAAAAAAATGAAGTTGACCTTCAAAAAAAATCTCCTAACTTGGGAAAAAATTATTATCGCCATATAATAGCCTCCTTCATATCGTGCAATTTTGGTTGTACAAATTTTTCTCTAGACTTTATATATTCGAAAATATTTCAGGTGCTAATAGTTATTGGGACATCCTTATATACAGGGTGTCTCAAAAAAATGGATCGAAACACAATGGGGACGTAGATTGGATCAAGGGGAACAAAACAGTTTTGTACCATTTTGCAGTTGACGCAATATTTAACGAGATATTAACGTTTAAAGATAGGCGAATACAAGCGTTCGACCAGCCTACTGCTCAAGCGCTATCCTTCTCCTTGTCAACTGCAAAATGGTACAAAACTGTTTTGTTCCCCTTGATCCAATCTACGTCCCCATTGTGTTTCGATCCGTTTTTTTGAGACACCCTGTATATACATATATATAGTTATATATATATATTATATTTATATTAAAAAACATTTTTATATTAAAACAATGCTACTTAAAAGACAAATATGTATCTACGTAGTGCGTGTGTACACTTAGGACGGAATCCATAGACATTGCTCAAGATTCGACATTGTCTTAAGCTGATGTATGAACCAATCAGAGAGCTGTATTAGCTCTTAAGACATTGCTTGAGATTAAGAACGAACTATGGATTCCGGCCATAAACTTATAAGGAAATATTACTTTTTGTTCCACTCGGATTTTAATCAAACTTGGCACCAATGTTTATGTTTCCACCAAAGATGGAAACATGTAAAACATTTCGTTGGAAAACCTATGGATTAAAGAGCGCAGAAGTTTTTGCATGAAAAATAATGAGAATAACACAAACGCACAAAATGTGACTTTGTGTAACATTCTATTATTAAAAAGAGGTAATAATTAAGTATAAATATGAAGATTGACTATTGAATGATCAAAACAAAATACATATGTGCAATAAGCGCACCGGAAAAAACTAATAATATTGGTACAATTTTCAATATTACAAGTATCTAATTTGAATATGAAACAATATTTTAGTGATGTTATATAATGATCTTAGACATTAGATTTTTATGCAGATATTCGTACAGACATGTACAAAATATGCAAATTTGCACAAATATGCAAATATGCATAATATATACAAATAAATATGCATTTTTAGAATGCCTTTTCAATAAGACAAATTTCTATTTTAATGTTATTTTCCAATCTGCTTTTTAAAGATATAATTGCATAAGAATCCGATGTCTAAATGATCTAAATGAGAAGATGTAAAGCAGCTTTTTCAAAATTAGGCTTTCTATCTTCTCATTTAGATCATTATATAACACTAGAATGTTGTTTCACATTCGAATTAGATACTTGTAATATTGAAAATTGTACCAATATTAGTTTTTTCCGCTGTGCTTATTGTACATATGTATTCTATTTTAATCATTCAACAGTAAATCTTCATATTTGTACTTAATTGGTACCTTTTTTTAATAATAAAATGTTACACAAAGTCACATTTTGTGCGTTTGTGTTATTCTCATTATTTTTCATGCAAAAACTTCCGCACTCTGTATCTCTTTAATCCGTGGGATTTCCAACGAAATGTTTTACATATTTCCATCTTTAGTGGAAACATAAACATTGGTGCCAAGTTTGATTAAAGTCCGAATGAGACAAAAAGTAAAGTTTCCTTGTTGTATAAACATTAACTATATTTCAGTATAGTTGTAATTATAAATAATATTTATTTCATTTTATTTGTTTTATAAATAATATATTTTATCCATTATTTGTTAATTATTTACCTATTCTAGCAGTTTTATCAATATCCGATGAACGATCCTTTAACTGCATAACATTATCTTCATTTAAATGATCAGGCACTTCTGTAGAGTTACCTTCCACATTTGCAAAAGACGACTTTTCTCCAGATGTCTAAAATAAGTACAAATATTTTATATATATATATATATATGTCTATACACATATTGTCTTTTCTACATGCAACATGTTTTTCGTGTATACTTTCACTTTATAAAGAATAAATATTGATAAAGAATAAATAGCGATAAAGAATAGTAATAAAATAATTATGTACAAATCATTCTTTTTTTTTTTAATTACAAGACATAATATTTAAAAATTGTTAATGTTTATAAATTTTAAAATGCTTATTAAAGTATCAAGTGTTGTTATCAATATCTTTAAATCAAAAGATATACATACTATTTTTTTAGCTATATTTAAACCATTCCAAAGCTTTGTTGATAATGATGGGCTTATTGTTTTATTTGTCGTGCTTAGGTCAGGATTCTGCGTTTCTCCAGAAATTGTAGCACTTGTTATCACATCCTGCTCACGTAGTGTCAAATTCTCATGATTCTCTTCAGCAGAGACATTTATAATATCTCGTTCTTCATCAACAGCAGATGGTTCAATATTTATAAAACTGATATAACAAATAAATAAAAATATATATTTTGCTTTCTATGCTTAAAATTAATAAAGCATTAATGTAATTTTACATTTTGTAAACAATATTAAGAATCTTTATTTTAGACCACGTATGTGAGAACACAATCAATACTAGAAATTAAAATGCCTATAATGGTCGAAGCTGGATCTTTAATGCTCAAATAATTCAATCTTGAATTACTATTTATATTTTGTAAATATTTATATTTTAACTCACCCATCTCCAGTTAATATTCCTAAAGCATTAGTTAAATCATCAACTTTTTCTTGTCTCAATTTTTCTTCTTTGGCATAACTTTTCTCTATACTATAATCTTCACCACCATTTCTAAGAATTTCCACTCTTAGTATACCATCTCGTGGCCATTCATCTCTTATATGTTCTAAACAATTAGTTGGTGCACGTGAAAATACTATATGAATATAAGCCAATACAAAAAATGCCAATATAGCCTGTGAACAAGAGATTCTTTACATCTTTATATATATATATATATATAATTTATTTTATTACTTCTTTTTTTGTTTATTTAAAACTTTGATATATAAGTTTAGTTTTTAATTTTTAGCTTTTCAGTTGTTTTTTCGTTTTTTATTTATATAAATCATTTACTTGTATTAGTATCTTATTATTTGTAAATAACTTGTATGTTGAATAATAAACATCTTGTGCATACCTTTAAAAGGACTATAAATTCTATAAATCTCCTGACAGGCCTTGGAAATGTTCGTGCATAGGCTAGAGCCGCCTTGATAAATAATGCATGAAATAATCTATCCCGTACATTAATCAGTGGGTTTTGATTATTGTTATTTCTAGCTATATTCATGTTATTATTATTTAAAACTGGTCCTATAACACCAGCAAGACTGTGAAGATTATGTGCTACCGCACCGTTTTGATTATTAGGCACTGCAATAGCAGCACCCTCTCCTTGAGACATTTTTAAATATTACATAAGTAGCGCCCACAAATACGAGAATTCATATAATTATTTACATAAAAATCACCATATTTAAACATATGTAATTTGTCACTTCCAATTAATGTACATAAGCATTGTAGCAAGTCCTGAAACATAAATAAAAGATTTTTAATTAACAATTAGTAAAATAAATTCATTAATATATATATACAAAAATTAAAATGTAAAATTTGGAAGAATGAAGATATAAATTCATTCTCAGTACAAATAACTTGTAAAATATATTACATTTACAGTGCATAACCTATTTATTTTGCATCAACATTTAAATGTAGACATTAAATGTAGACATGATAAAAAAACTTGAGATAGCGTTTTTTTTTTAGAAATATGCCAATAACAAGACATTTGCAGTCTTACACTGAATACAATGAATCGCGAGTCGCGCACAAAAACGCATATGCAAAACAGTGACAATGACTGCTGTTTATTATGTTTGTTTATTACGTAATTTCTTGGCCGAAAAAAAGAAAATCTGCCAATTATCCAAACTGTATAACAATCGTATCAATTCCTTCCGTAAGACACAGCAGATATATTCCATAAAGAAAGATAATACATCGGCATATGAGATTTGACGTCAACGTCGCCAAATTTTCAGCTGTTTTCGAAAACGAATCTGGTACGTCATACCTCGTGACAGGACCGTGAGAAATACGCCAAAGCTGTAATTTCGATGACACCGTCGCGTCTTCCAATAGTGTAAATCAAGTCGTCGTGCGAAAGTTACGTTTTACTTAGTAAATACGACGATATTCACGAAATTGTCATTTCATCGTCGAGTATGTTTTGACGTACAGTATGCACCCGTGTGCACTGTAGATCGTATTCCACAAGGCACAATCGGCAGCAACTTGTCCATACGCGTACGGCGCAGGTTCACCAATCGCGAAATTGAGCCCGGATTCTCAGGGTGAAATCACACGGTGCGGAAAAAGATTGCGGAATAGAGAATGCGTCATTGGGCGCATTCAGCGGACTCAACAGTTGAGTGAGCGCTCGCTGTTATTGGTGTATTCTTTTAGATCATCCAATCAGAATTTTAGATCTAGAAGAATACGTCAATAGCAGCGAACGCTCGCTCAACTGTTGAGTCCGCTGAATGCAGCCATTGAAGCAACCAATCAGCGCTATTCGGAATTGGTTGCTTCAATGACGATTCGTATGTGTACGTGACCGGACAAAACCTCCGGTTGGAAAAATTATTATTTTCAATCGCTTGTATTTCGTACGAAGAGTTTTGAAGTGCAAATAAAAAAGTTTCTGAGTCTTTCTATTAATTACAATTAATCATTTTTTGGACCATATACTTGACCGAAATAATTAATCGGATCTAAATTCAACAAAGTTTATACATGGAATCGTTTGTATTTCGTATGAAGAGTTATGAAGTACCATTAAAAACATTTGTGAGCCATCCAAATATTTTTAATTAAATATTACTATATTATGTATTTGACCGAAATATAGATACAGGCGTTACGGTCACGGAAATTCCGTTAAACGCGATAGATATACCTATCGCGTCTAAAGCCGGAATCAGACTATCCATTGAAAATTGAGATTAGTGATTAAAGATTGAAATTTGATCAATGAGGACAAAGGAATTTTAGCTCCTATTGTTTTGATTGGTCAAATTTCAATCTTTGAATCTTCAATCTCAATCTTCAATGCGTAGTCTGATTCCGGCCTAATGACTTCTGCACACAGAACGCGACAACGCTTGCTGCGCGGTGGAAGTGGCGCGATAGCCAATCAACGCCTCGCTTGCTCGGAAGTAATAAATATATAATTTCCACCGCGCGACAAAAGTTGAACTCATGGTTTCTACACATTGGACGCGGAAAAGGCTTACCGCGCGGCAAAATGCGACGCGGTAAGTCCGAATCTACAATAGGTGTTTTAAGCCTTAAGTCGTAAGAAACTGACCAATTACAGTCGAATCCGAGGTGAATAATCGATTGTGATTCGTCCATTTCTTATGACTTAAGGCTTAAAACCCTATTGTAGATCTGGGATTAGACGCGATAACCTAACCTATCACACATTAGGTGCATTTAAAATAATACTTGATTTTTCTTTAAAGTTGTGATTTCAGTGTTATCGTCGAGTTTGATTATCGACAGAGATGATAACTACAGAGAAAAAAATTGTAATTTTTCGGCAATATATAGGATATTATAGCTTTACAAGTATACATATTTATTTATGGAGCATTTATGTAATAAAAAATCATGAACTAATCGTAACATCGATGTTATAACTTCGGCGTAAATCGATTCGTGTAAACGTAGTCCCTAGTCCGGTCTTACCCCGGATCTACAATAGAGTTTTAAGCCTTAAGCCATAAGAAATGAACGAATCATAGTCGATTATTCCCCTCGAATTCGACTGTAATTGGTTAAATTCTTACAACTTAAGGCTTGAAACACCTATTGTAGATTCGGACTTAAGCGGGGAGCACAGATTCTTGCATAACGCATAACACGTAATGCATAAGAAAATGTACCAATCAAAGCCCTCCGTTTCCTTCCTTTCCATGAAATAAAGAATTCTGATTGATTGAATTTCTTATGCATTACATGTTATGCGTTATGCAAAAGTCTGTGCTCCCCGCTTTAACCTGAATGCACCCACTCATGCATTCTTTCAGATCTAAAATGCTGATTGGATCTAAAAGAATACACCAATAATAGCGAACGCTCACTCAACTGTTGAGTCCGCTGAACACAGCCAAGAGGTCTGTTCTTCTTGGTCGAACTTTTGCACCAGTTCATCTTCCTTCCCCTTCTTTCCTCCTGGAGAGAAAAGGAAGAAAGATCAACCGGTGTAAAAGTTCAGCCAAAAAGTACAGGCCTAATGTTATCCCTTCCTCCATGGACTCTAGTGAACAGGTGTTGCCACTTCCGCTGACAAGCTCCATTTAAATTTTAACGTACACAACACACTGTACCACACTACTTATGTACAGTGCACCACAGTGCTATACACCGTGTCGAACTATGTCAAATCGACAACGGTAGCGAATAATCAAGCTGCCTTTATTTAAATTTTCGGAGTTCAAATACTATATTATATTGTATTTTGAATAGAATAAAATATAGAATTTATCATATTATTGTCAATTTATTTTCTATATACACAAATAATTTATATGACTATGTATTCACCGTTGTCGCCTCAAGCTAGCCTTAGTTCAGAATTAAGACAAATTATAAATGAAAGAAATATGTTGAGCATGCGGAGCCGTATGAAGGGTATAATTTTTTATATATATTTTTATATATATATTTTTTATGTATCCATTAATCCTATAGTTATCACTTATACCAAAGTTTTAGATCATAATTTTTTCAGTTCTACACGCTTTAAATGAAGATAATGAGAAATGTACAGAGGAAAAGGAAAAAATTTTGAGATCACAAGCCATTCGAGAAATACTCACTACAGAAGTTACTTATTTACAACAATTGGAAATCTTAGCAGAAGTATATTTTCTATTATCATACTCATATTATTGATATAAGTAATAATATATATATATATGTGCGTATGTGTGTATGTATGTACAATATGTTTCTTCAGTTCTTTATACAGCCTATTCTCGAGAGAAAATTGTTAGACCATCCATTACTTGTCACCCTAGCTGAAAACATAAAGACATTATATAATGTAAGTGGTGAACTGGTGGCAGGATTAAAACGTAATCCTGATAACATAGCTGGAGTATTTCACAAACTTGCACCATTCTTTAAATTGTATTCTGTTTATGCTTATGATTATACACAAGTACTAAATTTACTACAGGTAATTATCAAGTATTATGCAAAAATTATTAAAATTTAGTTGTGTATGATTCCTGAAAAATTAGTATAAATTTATCAAGCCACACACACAACATCAATATGAGTGCCAATATTTCATGTTAGATTAAACATATTGTATGATTAATTAGGAGATAATCTGATAGCGTTTTTATTGCATATTTTTTTTATTATTATACATATATTTGAGTTATTTAAATTTTATTATTATTATACTGAAGAGAACCCGAACAAAGGATTGAAACATATATATTGTCATTGTTTAATTGAATAAATTTACACACTGTTATCCTATATTGGCTCGTAAAGGCAATTAATTTAATTTCATTTATTTATATTTTACAGATGTAGATATTTTGGTATGAATATTTTTTCAAAACTACATACGTGTGCATATTTTCATTGATTATTTTAAAATCAAAAAGTACTTTTGTTAAAATGCTTACAAAAGGGATATTAAAATCTGTGAGATTATCTTTTCAGACAAGTGAAGAGAATGATTCGATCTTTAAAAAATTTATTTGTGATCAAGAAACAAGACCAGAAGTAGGCAGGAAATTGTCTTCATTGTTAATTACACCAGTGCAAAGAGTACCAAGATATCAATTACTTGTTAAACAAGTGTTGCAACATACTCCTTATAGACATAGAGAATATAGACATTTACAGGGTAAGCATATTATATTACGATTCGCCAAAAAATTCACATGTATTTGAATGTATATTTTTAACATAATTTTAACTCAATTTTAATTGCAGCATGTCTGGTTGAAATTGAAAAATCTGCGAAACATATAAATACTTTAATCGCACAAAATGAAGAAACACAAAAATTATTAAATCTTCAGAAGTGCATTGTTACTTCTATTAACCTTGTCAAGCCTGGTAGAATATTAATAAAACAAGGACCATTGATGCGTGTTTCAAGACGAGGCAATTCAGCTTATAGGCGATACTTTGTTCTTTTAAATGACACTCTGTTGTATTGTAAAGGTGAACCAGAGACATCACTGAACGTATCTTGCGTTCTACCATTAAACAAGTGCAGTTTAACCTGCGTTCTGAGCAAAAAATTGTTCCGTATAACGTGCTTGCATGAAACATTCTTATTGTACTCAGAAAATGCAGATAGTGCCGAATGGATACAATCGATACAAAGTGCTATTAAAAAAGTATTTGTTACATTATTAAAAATGTAGATATAATCTTGGTACTTTTAGCTTTTCTATTTAACATATTATATACTATTTTGTTTTCAGTATACGGAATGTAGACAAACTTTGAGAAAAGAAAGTAGCTCAAGAAAGCCACTTAGACATAAAAATATTAACGAGTTTTCATCAGATAGTATATCAAAGAAATCTATTAAAAGAAAAAGATGTATGAAAGATGAACAGGTATAAACATATGATTTTTCATATGTAAGTTGCTAGTATTAATTTTTGAGATGTTTAACACAAAGTGCCAATTGATTGAAGATAGAATGTATTACAGGTAGATTACCTTGAGAGATATAATAATAAACTAACACAGATTTTTCTATATTATATTTTAGGTATCGTTGGACACCTCCAACATAATATACTTTAAAAAGGATAATGAAATGGATGAAGAGACTCAAAGCAATAATATTTGTTTACCTCTTTCTACCAAGAGATTTAAACAAAATGAGTATTCCAAACCTAGTTGTACTTCTCCCCAAGTAAAAAATACAAAACTAAAATTATGTAAAAATAAAAATACCCGATCTATATCTACTCATAGATGTTTAAAAAAATCAAGTCATAGCAATTATGAGGTGAATAGAAATGCATTACATAATTATATTTATGAAACGTGTTTATCAAAATAACATTCGGTCTTTTCTTTAGACTCTTCCAATAACAACAACGATACATGGAACAAGTTCGTGCTCGATCACATCGAACGACGAAGAACACATATCGCCTTTTCAAATAATGAGTGATTTTTTCACATTTATCGGTACAACAATAAAAGACTTTTTCACATTCAGATAATTCATAAATTATAAGAAAATGTATGTAAAAACAGAGAAATTATTTATGTCATAATTTATAAAATCATAATAATATGATTAAATGTGTTACAATTTTATTTTTTTATCCATAGATATAGCTAAATTTTTTTCGTAATTGAACTTTTAAAGACCCTTAAATATATATAACTGAACGTCCATATAAACTGTTTTGGCTAATTTTATTCTTTAATACTCACAAAACAACTCAAAGTACAAAAAGAGATAGCTCTCACACGAGAGTATTGTCGTTTTCCTTCTTCCTGCGAGTACATACAATCCAATTAAAAAGTTTATTTTATAGCATATAAAAAAAAGAAAATTTATATTTCCCCAGATTGAGACTGATTGAGACAAAATACACGCATGCGCAGTAGCGGCAGCTCGTCGAGTGGTAAAGCTTTTTCTTCGACCCTGGGGAAGGGGGGGAACATTGCATTACACGGCTATACCTTACGCAGTTTTCGTAGGAATTTACCGTAGAAAACTATTGGAGGTTACTGTAAGAACGTATTTCATATTTGTGTTCGCTTCGCGTAGATAGGCACACATCACGGTGAAAACGGAGTATTTTGGAATACTCGACATTGCGGATTTTTACGTATATACAGCTACAGTATCGCACAATACCGGAAACGAAAGCAGGTAATAAAGGAAGCAGAAGGGTGGAGAGCAACGCTCATAAAGAAAAAAAGACACTGACGTGAAGAAACGCATCGACGATACGGCAACCTGCCATTAATGCGCTTCTCTATGAGAAGATTTCTCAAGTGTAATTATTCAAAGTGCAAGTATCCCAACGATCGTTCCATATGATTTCTAATCGAACATTCGGCATTTTCTATATCGAATTGAAGTCATTTTTCGTCTCATTACTCTATACTTAAAATGAGAAAATTTGTGATGCACAAATGCATGCATTATGTATGTCGTATGAAAAATGCTTTGTAAATGTCAATCTCTACTACTATCTTTCTATTTCACCAGCAATAGAATACGAAAAAATGTTATAATATAACGAGATATATGCCGATTCATACGAATTGATTAAAGATTGTGAAAGAATCGTATAGTATCTTTTATATCATATATAAGTTTCGATTATCACACATTAAGTTGTGAAAGTAGATTTTATTCATTAATTTCATTCATTAATTTTTTAAAACTAATTGGATTTTATTAGTATTGCATTCATTAAGTAATTAATTATTTGAAATATTATAATAATTATATGATTTATTTGTGAAAATAATATCTTATAAATGTCTTTTAATATTAATTCAAATATTACACCTATTGTAATATCAAATAAAAAATTACTGTTGTATATTTACGTGTATCTTTTTATTTTGTAGAAATTTCTTCACGAATGGACATTTATAATAGATAACAATGGAAGGCCCATTAGAAATAAAAAATTCCAGTGCAGGTGTGGAGGAGCCTATAAAATCTGAAGTTCTCGTACAAAATTCTGAGAATAACGAGCGAAGCGATGCAGCTTCTCCACCTCCAAATTGTAGCATTTGCTTGGGAAAGTTAGTTAATACATCTTTCACAGACAGTTGCCTACATCAATTTTGTTTTACTTGCTTACTTCAATGGTCCAAAATTAAGACGGAATGTCCTTTATGCAAGCAAACATTTAAATCAATTATACACAATGTAAGATCAGAAGAAGATTATGATCAATATCATGTACCCCGTGAATTGGCATCGCAAATTCCTCAGCCACAAGTAACTGCTACTTTGGATGTCAATTTTGATGTCGATTGGGATGCTGCTCCTCGTCGATTTGTTTACAGGTACAATTTATATATATAACACAAATATGTTTTATACATTAGAAGAATAAATGTATTGTGCACACTATTACAATTTGCACATTTATAAGATAATTTTATGCAATGTCTCAGAACAACAATGACTGGTAGTCGTCGACACGGAGTGTTATTGAATCCAGAGCAGGTTACAAGACGTGAACAATTACCTAGTATGGCACCTCAAGTGCCTAGAGAAGAACGTAGACGTAGACGTGCTAATCCTACAGATTATCGTCGTACAGTTTATAGGCATGGTATATGGGCTACTTCATTACCTGACATATTTGGACGTTTCCGTGAATGTAGCGCTGATTATTATAGGTAAATAAATTTCTTAATATTTTTTTAATTTTTATTATTTATTCCTGTATTCAATATTAAAAAATGTCTTCATTCATAATACTTAAATTTATTTGTCAATTGTATTGCAGAAGACAACCACAAGAATTAGATCGTCTTATACCATGGTTAAATAGAGAATTGCAAGTTTTACTTAATAACGAACCGACTCATGTTGCTTATGTATTGAGTATAATAATGGAGGCCTTAACTCAATATGATATTAGAAGTCCAGAATTTCGGAATATTGTCCGACCCTTTTTCGCTATACATACAGATCATTTTGCACACGAATTGTTAAATTTTGCCCAAACCAACTTTGATTTGGTGGGATATGATCAATCTGTTACTTATTTGCCACGTGGTTTGTAATTATTTATATGGATTATATAATTGCAAAAAATATCAAAATACATAGTTCATTATCATGTCTATTATAGGTTTGTCAAATGAGTATGCAACTCGTATTGAATCACCTACATCCAGTAGCAGTAGCAGTAGCAGCAGTAGTCTTGTCTTTGACAACTCTGATGTACGAATACTTGCCGAAGCAATTGATTTGAGAATAAACACTGAGATGCCGAATACCTTACCACATCCTATTAGCATGCCAGGTAAGAAATAAATAGCAAATCGCATCCTGTATTACATTTGTAATCTAACATATGTCAATATGTGCATATAAAGATAAATAAAAAATTTACATTATTTCATCTTTTATGTATATGTATTATAATTATATACAGGGTGGGGCATTTTAATCGCCCCAGGTGGGTATCTCAAAAACTAAGAGAGATACAGGAAAAAGTTTTATATAAAAGTTGTAAGTTTTTTTGGAAGAAAGAAGATAAAAATAACAGATTTTATATATGGGGCATTACCAAGATCAGGTCAAATCGATTTTTTTTAACGGAACACTATTTTTGATGCCAGAATTTAATAGTTGGTTAAGAGCTTTTCAAAACACTATAATAAAGTTATCTTCCATTAAATACTTTTCAAGTTATGAAGCTTGGAAATAATAGTACCACCGACATTAGCATTACTCAACGTGTCCAACCGACGGCTAAAACCTCTTGAATGTTGTTGAAGATCATGTGGATCACCTGGATAAAATTTGTTAAGATTAAGGCCATTGGAAATTATTCTTCTTGTTATTTTTGTACTAAAAATTCATTTTTACGTAAAAATAAAAATAAGAGGTACAAGCTCCAATGGACCATCACGCGCATGCGTACATGGATAACGCCGGCGGTACTGTAACTTTCAAGCTCCATAAGTCGGAAAGTACTTAACAAAAAGTAACTTTATTATAGTGTTTTGGAAAGCTCTCGAGATAAGCTACAAGAATATGTAATAAAAAATTGGGGCTTCCATTTAAAAAAACATTAATGACCTTCACCTGATTTTGACAAGGTCACTCAAGGTCAAGTCCACGTTTCCATCATGTGTTCCCCTTCAAGCCATGCAACTTTCGTTCGAAATATTTTTCAATAAAATCATCGATTCGCGAGATAATACCATATCACTTAAAATAAAACACCCTGTATGTATATATATATATATATATAAAATTGTATGTATAATCATTTTAGGTCCTAGTGCAGCAGGACAGATGTTTCGCAGAGTAGAAACATCTAATACTGTACCAGAACTGTTAATCGTTTCATCGAGTTCCTCTGAATCAGATGGCGATTGTGAAATAATTGGTTATGTAAAACCGCGTCATGAAAGAACACCAGAAATCATAGAGTTACTTTCTTCCGACACTGAGCATGTGTGTGTTTCTCATACATTGAATGGAAATACGCAGTAAGTTATAAAAAGACCATATCGCAATACGTTTAATTTTTCAATCGTTTAAACATTGCTATTGTGATAAAATTTCTTTAAAAATTACTTATATATACATTAATATCAGTGTAACTGTAATATGCAATTTTAAATATTTACCATCACATATTTTATTACTAGATCAACTACAAGAAGAACACATTTGGAAAATACATCATTACCGAGTACGTCTTATGTTAAGGAGACGAAAGGATCGTCTTCGTCGTCTTGCTCAGTGTCAAGTACTGATGTTTTATCCGACAGTGATAACAATCTGAGGCAAAGTAGACGAAACCGTTCGAAGAAATCAGGGAAAAAAGCACAAAAGTATAAAAGATCAGATGGGACAGGAAGCCGGAATAAATCATCTAAGAAAAAGAGAATATCCAGTTCTACTGATTCCAGCTCATCTGAAAGTTTACTAAAGAAATATAATGAAAAACGATTGAGAAAGCCAAGATATAGAATACAGGCTAAAGGTGCAGGACGAATAAAACTTATTAAAAGAGAAGAAAGCTATTCAGATGAGGATTCATCTAGTAGTGACAGTAGTAGCACAGATACTGATAACAAAACGAAAACCAAGAAGTGTTATAGAGAATATAAATCGAAAAGAGATTGTTCCTCTAGTGTAAGAAACGATCATACAGCGAAAAGTGGAAAAACAACGAGAAGTAAAGAGAAAACTTTCAATCTGGAAAAGTTAAAGTCTAAGAACAAAGATCCGAAGTGTTGCGAAAACAGACAATCTAGATCTAGAAGTAACAGTATATCTTCTAACGCTTCTGAACGAGATAAAAGATCGAACCACAAGCACCGGGAATGTCGAAATACGAACGAGTTTGGAAGTCAAGACGACAGTGCCTCAATAAATAAAGATATGTCAAGAAGTGAATATAAATCTAAATCAAAAAAGAAAATGTGTTATTCTTCAGACTCGGAAGATGATTGTTTAAGATCTTGTAGTCAGTGTAGTGATTATTCCAATAAATCCTATTCGCATTGGAAAAAATCAAAACGTAAAGAAAAGCACAAAGATAAGGAGCGCTATAGATCCAGTAGCAGAATATTTAATTTATCGCAATCCAATGCAAGTACAATTTTAACCATGTCTATATCATCGAAAAATGACATGTATCCAACGAAACATTCCGATCGTAACGGTTCCGATTGTAAAGAAAAACATAAATCACGCAAAGAATCTAAATATAGAAAATCCGAAAATGAAAAAAAGGCGAGACCAAAGAAAAAAAAGCGACGTCTTCAATCTTCTTCCACTTCGGGATAATATCACATACGATTTTTGTGTTAGTTAATATTACAAAATAAATTTTAATTTAAGAAAATGATATATTCAAATTTTTATAAAATATACGTAAATAGTATCTAATCAAATTAATTTCATATTATTGTAGTTTGTATCATTCTGTTTGTAAACATACGTTCCCCATCATGATGCTAAGATCATTTTATGATTGTTATTTGTTACATAATAATATACTCATTTGTTATATATATATAATTTCAACAATATCTTAAAAAGATAAGAAATTAGGATTACTCTTTTTCTTACAAATTAATGTTTATATATTATTTTATTATTACCTATTTGTGGCACAAAAATATTTCCATTTATATATTAATAAAGACAAAATAATGTCTTCTCTATTTTTTATGATAAAATATGTATATATTAAAATAAATTTGTATTTGCACATTGCAAATTTCAACAAAAAATACTGTCTTATCATAGCATCTCTAATACAAAAAATTGTTGCTATAATAATACCATATGTCGCGCTACCTCTTCATGGGAATATAACATTGTACACAGCGATATATACATGCAGAATATATATTTGTATATTGTGCATATATATGTGTATCGTGTGTATATCATAATTATATTGATCAAAGAACAATTTGTACATTTTGGAATATTATAATGATCCATATGGAGTCCCAAAGATTGTAAATATGTGTACTTAATAAATTATTTTAATTAAGATTTGCATCTTATATATATTTTATATATATATATATATAAAATATATATGATGGGGATGAAGTTTACATCAATACAACTAGAAATATTATATGTTAAAAATAATTTCTTTCATACATGCGCATAAAAAATTATAAAGATTATTTTATACATAAATTGAAGCTATGCATGAATATCTTGCATAATTGCGTAATAATCATTACATTTTGCATAATGATAAAATGTTTTATTATCGAAATATCGTTTTTAAATGAATGAGCTAAAATGTGATGTTTTAGAAACACACAAATCTTGTTTTATAATATAGAGATGTAACTGAAAAGATAAAAAATGTGAAATTACAATAAAATAAAATATCAATGTGTGTAAAGATTATTGTAAATTTGTATTATACAAACATTTACGTATACAGATTGTTATATATAAATTAGATAATAATTAAGTACATCAACATAGAAAAGAGAAGAGCGCGAGCGTGATACTGGTCTATCATGTTAGAGGTCCCGGGTTCAATCCTGATAGAAACCAAAATATTTATGCTCGTATCTCCTCGGAAAAGGCCGGTAACCTCCCGAAAGTATCTTTGTCTACAAAATATACCTCTCGAAAAATCCGAATTCGGAATCGGCATTAAAACTAGGTCCCATATGCTTGTAGCAGTTGATTCATCAGCTTGTGCACCACAAGCATTTGAGAGAGGTGTAACACAGGCCAGAGGCCTATAATGTAAGAGGAAGAACATAAAAAAATACATCAGTAAAAATATATCTGTGAAAAACTATAAAAAGAATATAAAATAATTACTAAGTGTAACATTATATATTTTTCACCTGTCATGCAGAGAGAAATATAATTTTTAATTATACATCAATATTTCATGGGATGAATCTAAAATCCAAAGCAAAAAATGTCAGAATATAGATCCTTATTCGGACTCTTTATATTTTTCAAGTTACAATAAACAAAATGCTTCAAGTATGTTTGCTGATATATATTATAGTTGCTGATATATTATAGTTTTAAGATGTGCCGCGATGTACTTTATAGCATAGCTAATAACCTAAGCAGCACGAATAGTTTTTCCTATGCACATTTTTTTGTTTTATTTCCGTAAAACATTATGTAAGAATTGTCTCACAGATACAATGAGGAAAATTCTAATATTAAAACAAAATTTAAAATATAACAAGTTTTTTAAAAATATAATAATTTATTTTCTTCACAAAGGATATTTATTTTACACATTCATAAAAATCTTTATTTATAAAAATCTCTAGTTTATATATAAATAGTATATATCCTAATATACTGTATATAGGGTGTCCCGTAAGTTTTTGCCAAGCGCTCTATCTATACAAAAGCACTTGGCAAAAACTTACAGAATACCCTGTATAAATTTATATAAAATGCACACCTTCCGCGTTGAATGTATGTAACAGGCTGAAAAAGAATACATTTCCATTAATTTTGATGTTTTAGTGTTTATAAAGTATCTATAAATGATCATAAAGTATAACTAAACATATATAAACTAAATGTTACAGTGCGTGCGTGCGTGTAAATTAATGCTAGAAATAAACTTTAGATTTAAATGTTGAATACACAAAGCCAACCAAGCGCATCTGCTAAAGTTGATATACACTTGTACATTATACAAACTGCTATATTATATTAACTTGTTTATACCTGATAAAGTCATCTATGTCCATAGTTCTAGCTCGTTTATTCTTAGCATCTGCTTTTTCTAATACATGGTCTATCAATTGCTTGATATCAAAATTATCTGGTACAATCTATAAATATGTGCCAATCTCAATATAAAGTATTATATTATATAAGAAATATTCTAATGTAAACAAAGCATTTGATCAATATTTCCAGACTTAGTATCACATAACGTATTTTATTTATAATGTGTCAATTACCTTATTATTCAAACTACAATGAATTTTATAATTTTTCTCTAACATAGTAACAACTGTGGTTTGTTTGAAAGCTGCAGATAGCGTTTTATTTTTTCTCACGAAAGCAATCCGTGTCAGACCATCCCATTCCTGATAATTAATCGGAGGTGGTGGATTTCTTGGTTCAATTCTCACTACATTCGATTCTACTTTAGGGGGAGGTCTAAAGTTATTCTTTCCAACTTTCATCAACATATCTACTCGTGCCAATAATTGCGTGTTAATACTTAAGCGACAATATAATTTGTCACCAGGTTTAGCTACCAAGCGTTCCGCAAATTCTCTTTGGAACATAAGTACAGCACATCTGTTAAAAGAAATAACATATTAACATATATTAACTCCACTTCCTCTTGCATTACCTATATATTAAAAATTTGCTAAATTCACTTAAAATACTTCTCAATACTACATAGTTTAGAAATTTATTTTCTCAGAATACAACCAAGTATCTATCAGTAAGAAGTAGAGTGAAATATACAGGATGTCTCACAACTACCGCATTTCCTCTTAAGAACGTATTCTTGAGATAATTTTGAGACGAAAATCCTAATACAAAAATGTTGAGACTACAATAGTTTTTGAATTATAATTGATTAAAGATAGTGTAATATGAAAATTATAGCCTCGATATTTTTATATTAGAATTTCATTTTAGAATGTTCAAAAAATCCAGAAATAATAATAGAGGCTATAAAAGTAAAATGGTTTTTGATTCACAAGCATTTAAAGTTAGCTTATATTGTAATTCAAAAAATTAATGTAGTCTCGACATTTTCGTCTCAAAATTACCTCAAGAATATGTCCTTAAGAGGAAATTCGGTAGTTGTGAGACACCCTGCATATGTCAAAATGACACATTGTTCTATAGGAGCAAATGATTCTTATAATTGACAGATTCAATTTAGATTTTTACTTCATGTTTATTTCGGTTTTATAAGTGAAAAATTGAATGTTAGGCTACAACTAAATGAGCATGAGATAAATGGTAATTTACTTTAAGAACTTATATTTAATTTACATTTACAAATAGCCCAGGAAAACTAGATGATTTTTAGCAATATAAAGAAAAAAATTGTTGCAAAGCTAAATTTTTGCATAGAGGTCTGTAATAGTGTCCTTTTTAACATATCAAAACTCCCCATGTGTAAGAGTATGGTCGGCTGTGCCATCTTGAAAAAATGTCGCACAAAATCGATTTTTTGCAAATATCTCAGAAACTATTCGTTGTACGGAAATTAATATACTTATAAAATATTTTTTATAAATATGTAATTACCTGAAAAGTGGTCTGTGTGAAAGTAACTTAAATACTAATGGTGATGATATCTGATAAGGGATATTAGCGACACACAAATCAAAAAATGGTAGATCTGATTTTAATACATCTCCATACATTATTTGTAACTTTGATTGGTGTACAGTTCCTTGAACGCGCTTTTGTAATTCTGCTACCATTCTTGGATCAATTTCGCAAGCTACTACTTTCTTTGCTTTCTCAAGCATTTTTACAGTCATATTGCCTGTACCAGGACCTATCTCCAATACAACATCGGTAGGCCTAAGCGCAGCTTTTTCAACCATACTTTGAATAATTAAAGGATTTTTCAGTATATGCTGACCTTTATCCTTATTAAATAAAATTCCTACAAGAAACAAATATGTTTCTTATAATAATTTATTACATGATACTTATATTATATATTATATGTATAGTAGTCTTTAGGTCTGTTCTTTTTAGTTGAACTTCTTAAACGGTTCATCTTCTCTTTTTTTCTCTAACGTGGAGAGAAAAGAAAGAAAGATGAACCATGCAAGAACTTTAGCTAAAAAGAACAGACCTCTAGTTTTTATATAGATTAATTTATATAGATACATACAATTTTGGTAATTATTGAATTTAGTCTCCTTACCTCCAATGTTGATAAATTAGGTTCATTCGACGCGTTTTTGCACTAAATGAACGAATCTGATAAAAAAAGTGTCGCTTTACCCCGTTGACCGAGATATTAATCGTTAATCTTTTTTTAAATGTCTCTTGGGTGGACGACTATTCAGGTTAAGAAATTTGTCATATCGATGGTGGCTGTGTTCCAAATTTACTGCCAACACTGAAAATGCGACAATTTACGTTACGTACATTATAGATTTTCAATACAGGCAATCAATTTTGGAACATAGCCGGTATAGAGGGACATATAAGCCAGGCTAGAATAAGTATTTTCTGCTTCAAATTTACAGATTTTCTGCTTTAAAAACAAATTCTCTACTGTAAAAACAAAACTTTAATAGAAAATAATTTGTGTTTTTAAAGCAGAGAATTTGTTTTTAAAGTAGAGAATGTGTGTTTATAAAACAGAATTTGTGTAACCTTCCATGCCATCGAAATAACAGATTTCCTAACCTGAATATCTGTCAACTTTAACAATTAATATCACGATTCGCGAGGCAAAACGACACTTTTTTTGCCAGATTCGTTCATTTTGCGCAAAAACGCATCGAATGAGCTTAATTTTAACAACCTCGTAAGGGAGGAGGCTCAAACTTAACAATTACCAATATTTTTATGAATATATACCTTGTCTCGCCACTTCCGTGTGGACGCGAGAAGTAACTTGCGTGCGAACTTTCGGCATTATGCGCTTTTTTAGGAATTAGATGAAATATTTGAATTTTATTATTTATTTAATAACAACATGGCACCACATGGTCCACTCACTAAAATACATTACAATGGGTGCGTTCAGCAGAACGTTTGTTTTGCAACTGTTGTAAGTTTCCTTCGCGCTAATTGGATCATACTTTTAGATCTAGAAGAATGGTCCTATCTCAGCAGACAATCATAAAACGGTTGCAAAACTGTTGAGTCTGCTGAACGCAGCCAATATTAGGTTTTTTAAAATGAAAATACCACTTTTCCCTACCAACGTTACAAAAAATCCTTATAATTCCCTACGCTAGAGAAAAAAAGATTATTGGCGCGAAATTCAAAAGTAATTGAAAGAAATGATGAAAATGAAGGAAATAGCCTTCCGAAAAAAAATCCTCAATTTTGAGCGTTAAACACTTAAAAAAAACGTTCAAATTTGAGTGTGATTTCTGATCATCAACTGAAGACTAGGGTTGGATATTATGCGTGGCTAGGAGATATTATGCATTTAAAGCTGATTCTACATTGATTGCATCGCAGCGTCGCAAGCGTGTCGCAAGCGTTATGGTCCAATCAGAGTCGAGCTAAATTGACGTTGATTGGACTGCAACGCTTGCGACGTTGCGATGCGACTAATGTAGAACCAGCTTTATGCACAGAGTATGCATATAAAGCTGGTTCTACATTAGTCGCATCGCAACGTCGCAAGCGTTGCAGTCCAATCAACGTCAAGCTAGCTCGACTCTGATTGGACCATAATTAACCATTTGTACATATTCTTTTGTTCATAAACTAATTACAACTAAAAAACATTGATTTACATACTTGACGGCTTCATTTTCCCAAATAAAGCACGTAATATAAATGCATAAATTCGAAATGGCCGTGTTTTGCGTCAAAATGGATGCGAGTTACGGTACTTTATAGATCTAGTGACTTTAAGGGAAAGAATACGGGAGGGCCATCTTTATCTTTCTCTAATATATTGCGTGCGCATCGAACATTGAAAGCTGAGTGGGCGGCATCGATATACAATATTATAAGCGGTAAAAAATTTTTCATGCATAAATATGTACATAAATATGTATAAACATACATAAATATTCATAAACATAATTTTATAGGCTATATGAAATATGTCCATGCATGTTCATATATCCTTCTTTCTTTTGTAAAATTACTTTTTAGTGTAATAGAAATAACAATAGTAATGTGAAAACATTAAAAATAAGTAAGAGGATAATTTTCATACTATTTATTTTAGAAAAAATCAAGTTTGAAGAAATGTAAAAAAACTACTCATGTATAATTATCAGGGTTGGGTAAATTAACTTTCTTTTTGAACTAAATTAAGTTAAAGTTAACAGCCTTGAAAATTTAACTTAATTAAAATACATATACGAGTTAATCCATAATGAAATTAATTGAATTAAAAGTTAAGTTAATAAAAAAAGTAATTGAAAAGTTAAAAGTTAAATTTGGTCCAAACGATCAAAAAAAGAAAAATAAAAAGTTTGACCATTTTATATAATTTTTCGTATTTTTCCTTTCTCACAGCATATTTATTAAAGAATCTGGTTATTTTCGTTCACAAATAACGGTTATACAATATAAAATTACTAAATTATATACTCATTATCCTCTCGCATTGTGTCTGAGGATTGACTTCAAAAAAATCAAATTAAAAATTAATAGTTACCGATAAAATGCAACTAAATTAAGTTAAGAGTCTAAATGTAACTAAAGTTAAGTTAAAATTAATTAATTTTTTAACTTTTTAACTTAACTTTTATCTTTTTAACTTAGCACTACCCAACCCTGATAATTATATATAAAATTATGCATAGTTGTGTATGAGCAATTTTTTAAAACATTTTTCCAAACTTGTTTTTTTCTAAAACGAACAATGCAAAAATTATCCCTTTAATTACTTTTTATGTTTTTACATTACTATTGTTATTTCTATTACACTAAAAAGTAATTTTATAAAAGAAAGAGGGATGTATGAATATGTATAGACATATTCATATATTATTATACGTGTTTATGAATATTTATGTATGTTTATACATACTTATACATATTAATATATGAAAAATTTTTTACAAGAGATTTTATTCTTCGTTAAATATCACAACAATCCAGGATAAGCTCAACTGCACTTATGTGTCACTACAAATACTTATACAGCTTATACAATTATTTATACAATTACTTATACATTCACATATACAATCACTTATACAAACACATATTTCGGTTTCGAAACAATCGCAATCGTACAAACAGCATGTTGTTATCTCTTGCGACGAGTTTGATTCATTCTGCAATTAATAGAAATATATATGATCAGATTAAAAAAATTTTTCACATTGATCAAAAGTGAAGAAAAAATATTTTTTAATGTATGATATACATGATGGCGTCCTATTTTTTACATCTCTTTTATTTTCAGATAAAGTCGAATCAAAAACATGTTTAGACAAATGTCGTATGAGTTGTCGGTGTATGTACAAGTAATGGTAAAATCAATTTAAAAAAAAATCTATTTTTATGGTCACTTGAACGTCATGGCTATATTTTTTTTAAATAAAATTATACGATTTCTCTTTTATACAATATGATTGTTAATTATTCTACACATAAACTTTATAGGTATACTAAACTAACTGATCGATTTGAACATTTGTTATATATCGATTTGTGAGGTAGGTAATACTGCATCTAAAATAGTCTCAACTACACTCAATAGATAAGATTTATACTTATCCATATAAAATTCTTATCTAGTTTTAATTATATAAAAAAATTCAAGAATAAAATATCTATAGTGTATCAAGACTACATAAAAAGATGTACAGCGTTATAGTTATTGTATTGAGTTAACTATTTATGTAAAATTTTAATTAGAATCGTGTCTGCGTATAAAATCTTGCGTATTTTCATTGACTCCGCCATACGTTTGCATTCTCACCTGCAGCGGACTTGCTTCATCCTGTAATTAACAAAAATATTTGATCAGATTAGGATCAATGATTAAAAATTATTTTTAATATAAAAAGAGCAAAAAAAACAATTGAAAATTTCTTTGTCCTTATTGGTCAAATTTGAATTTTTCAATCTTTAATCTCAATCTTCAATGCGTAGTCTAAAGCCGGAATCAGACTATGCATTGAAGATTGAGGTTGAAGATTGAAGATTGAAATTTGACCAATAAGAACAAAGAAATTTTAGCTCCTTTCGTTTCGATTGGTCAAATCTGAATCTTTCAATCTTCAACCTCAATCTTCAATGCATAGTCTGATTCCGGCCTAATTCCGGCCTAAAGTCTTGTGTCCACGATGCTAGAAATTGGTCCGAGATCTCGGAGAGAGAAAGAATTAACCAATCACATTTAAACAATTTAGTCACATGATCAATGCGATTGGTCAATTCTTTCTTCATCCGAGATCTCGGACGGATTTCTAGCATCGTGGACACTGGGCTTAAGGGTCGACAGTAGAGTCCTATATATAAAGAGACCCGACATTGATCGAGCTTCTGATTGGCAGTCTGATATGTATCCCCTCCTAAGGGAAGCAGCCATATTGTGACCACAGCTGTTTAACACAGCTGACACACGTAACCTCAACCGCTAACGGAATACAGAACTCACTTCGCTAACGGATCAACGGAATACATTCTTCTTTTTCAATTTTAACTCCTGCCTCCAATAAATGAGGGAGATCAATAGACTTCATTACAACGAAGTACAGAGTGTTGGAAATTGGAGCAAGGTTGGAGTATGTTTATTGTTTACGACACTGGAGCGGTCCAAATATGGCGGCGCAGGAAGTGATGGTAGAGATCCGATCTAGTAATGGGGGTTCAATGACGGGTCTCTTTATATATAGGACTCTAGTAGATAGGAGAGACCACGAAGACCTCTAGTTGAAGACTTTCTTTATGCTGAAATTACGGCTAAAATACTGGAGGAATCGCGTTTTAATTGCGATATTTGTAATCAGAAAAGGTTCCTGAAGGCTCGTACAGAGCGATTTTTTTGGAAAAAAGACAAAATAAAAATTTGTTCTGATATTTCACATAATTTTGTACATAATTTTATTATTAAAAAATTTTCAAGAATCAAAATTTGCAAAATCGGTTCTGTACGCGTCTTCGCAGCTTCATAAAAAAAAGAAATCAAAAAGGTTTTATGACGTAATATTACTTCTTGGAGATAAAATATTAGCATAAAGGTACCTTTTCATGCTGACGCTCGACGCTCATTTTCAGCGTCAAAATAGTTTATGTGATCAAAATTGACGCTTGATATTTGTCAATGGCCCGTATTCAGAACGCGCTTACTTACAACGATGTTAGCGCGCTAACATATGAAAGAAATTGCAAAATTTGGTTCTTTAATAGGCTTCGTAGCTTCATAAAATATAAGCCAAAACGAGTTTCATGGCAAAATATTTCTTCTACGAGACAATATATAGTAGAGTCTGCTAGAGTACAGATTTGTAGCTGCATTATAAATGAGGTGTAAATAGGCCCATTCTTTTTGGCTGAACTTTTGCATCAGTTCGTCTTTCTTCTTCTTCTCTCCTCCTGAAGAGAAAAGGAAGAAAGATGAACTGGTGCTAAAAGCACCAAGGATCAGTTAAAAAGAACAGGCCCAATGAGTTGGTTCGTCATTCCTGTCGATCTTTAATAGCAAGAGCGATATCGTCTACATAACAAACATAAAAAGAGAACTCAATTGTCAATTTATTAAAAGCAGCTGATTCTAAGTCCTGTAGAATTATGTCAAAAACAATTGAAGATAGCAGCGAGCCATCACTCCGAAGGTTTGTTTGTAAAATTTATCATTGAATGTAAAAAAAGTGGAGTCAAGAACGATACATTTGATTGACATCATTACTGTTGAAAGGGATACTGAAAAGGATCCGAAGTTTGGATCGAAACGTATGGCCAAGTAACTGAATAAATTATTTTTCACACCAACGTCTTATGTTTGGCTCAAAAAGACATCTATTTATTTTTATATAATTTTGTATACATAATATATAT